TTTCTACAGAATGAAATTTTTACTACAGCTAATACTAGCTGGATAGACAGGTGGAGCTTGTTATTTTTCTCACAAAACCTACCTTTTCAGAAGGAAGAGATTGTGTTTCATGGTTGTACAATCTAATAGTGTGGTTGATTGAGAATAAGATTGAGGAGAACGAGACACTCACTGTTTGACCTTAGGAAATTCTCTTTGTCATTCCAGAAAGTTGGTTTCTCTGTCGGTAAAAGCACAGTAATAGCTAAATCAAAGAAGTCAGTCATCAATAGCCAGAAGTTGCGTCAGAATTTCAGTTGGAATTGTTGAATATTGTCACAGAAACGGAGTCTGTGGTGCTTTCTCAGAGATTTGCAAGAATTATTTTCTTCTACTGGTAGAATTCTTTCCATGTTGCTCAATCAGTAATCATTTTAATATATTTTTCTGCCTCTCAGTTACATCTCAAGTATTTATGTCCGTCCAATTTTCATGGTCTCGTATCTTGTTTGTTTCTGTATAAAATGTGTGTTGTGAGCTTGAGGGAACACTTCCTTTCGACTTCTTTGTAATTACCAGAAATAGTTTTAACTTGTTAAAACATTCTGGCCATCAGCATGGTAAACCTCATTACTCCACAGCAGACCTTCCTGTGCATTGTGTTTACCTGCTGATAACATTTCCAATAAGAAGCCAAACACCAGTGAAATAAGGGTGGTGCTTGCACTGTTGGATCCAGTGTGACTTTGCGTAATAAAAACATAAAAGAACAAATGACGCTCCTGTATAACTAAGACAGAGAGAAAGAAACACTATTAACTTGTTTCTGCTGGCTTTTCTTCTAGGAAAATAAAGCCTGTTTTCTGGACAGGCTTTGTTAACACTGTGATCTGATACAGGGCAGCAGGGATTCCTGTGCCTGTGCAGATGTTTTTTGATTTCAGAGTGATACCACCAAGAGACCACTGCATAGATGGCTACCCTGTTTTAGAGGACAGTATGCTAGGGTCCTCGCTGAGGCCTGGATGTTAGGTGCTCTGAACTAGAGTTACACATATTAAAAAAGCTTAAGAGCTAAACTGAGTTACTATAACAAAGCCTGAGGCTGCAAGGAAGCTTTCCACCCAAAAAACATTTCCTAAATGTTGCTAGCAGATGGCTCTCCGATCCCACAGGCTGGGGATACGCTGACTTTTCACTCTCAGTATTACTTGTCCTCACATCACAGGACTTGGGATTTTTGATTTTTTAATGAGCTTGATCTGATAAGCTGAGATAAACAGACTTTTAAAAGAAATTTAAAATGTAAAGATAATTTATAATTCTGTTGTTGAGATTCACAGGCATGGTTAATGTAATTTCCTTTTTCCTTTGGCACTTAAGCAAAATCTGGCCTATATTTAATTCTTCTGTTGGTGGATAGGGAAGAGGCTAATCACAAGAGACCAGTAGTGCTATTTGAATGACACGTCCTGCAATCTGTTTTTGAATGATCAGTTAATGTTTCAGCAGTATTATCTCTTTTTCCGTACCCTGCCTTTATTCACTAGCTTTATTCTACTTTTTTGCACTTTTACCTCACCCTTGTCAAGGATGCCAGATACCTTGCAATAAGTAGTCCCATTTCAGAGATTCCCTGCTCACTGAACATCTGTCTGATGAAGTCCGCCTGCTTTCAGTATTTTGCTCAACTGGAGCAGTGCTGTGCTGCTGCCTAGATGAGTGTATGAAGTGAATTTGGACTGGTTCAGTGCAAGGGAGCTGTTTATGAATGAACTCAGTTCACAGATGCATGACATCCAAGAAAAGTGAGTGCAAGACTTCATCCCTCCGGGTCAATAATCTTTGGGACAAGGCAAAGAGGAGACAGAAATTGAGGAGATGCTGCTGTTTTGGCGTCTGTATTTCAGGTCAGAGTCCTGTCAGGTCAGCAGAAGTCATGCAATGTGAGCAGTGCCAAAACACAATTGATGTTTGTGTATGAATATTTATCTTCATTTTTTACTCCATTTTGCATTCTGACAGGCATTACACACCTTCTTTGAAGACCTACCAGACAAAACCTCCAAAGGTCCTTTGTTTTGTAGTTCACTGTGCAGTGAGCCAAACAGTGGATCTGTGGGTGCTTTTGGGTCACCTTCGTCTTGGGCCTTTCTTCTGAGAGACCATCTCTGTTTAGACTGGAGTCCTTCTGAACTGTGGGAAAGAGCTCTTCCAGCTGCCAAGTGGTGACCCCAGACATCATCCTGAGGAGATGTCCCAGAGCATCTGTCTGGACTGTGAGGTTGCTTTCAGCAACTTGTGCATTTCTTTTCATTTGAGTGATCATCAGGGGAGGGTATGGATGGTACTCGAATTCTGACCTACATCTCACACTCTTGTTCTAGACCCTGGTGCAAGCTGGTAAGCCAGGCTGCCTTTCCCTCCTCCTTTTAACTCACGTGTTCTTTGGCATGCCTCCAAACTGAATGCAGTATGGAGGAGAAGGTCTGCAAGTTTCTGGAGCATATATACACATGTGGTCAGATCCCCATCTCGTTAAATTAGCATGTGGAGTGGAGACCAGCTACTGATTTATGTTTTCATCTGTGAAAGGTAAATTGGATTGAAACTGTTTAACACACTGTTTAAAAAGAGGAGCTGAGATTCTTGGTTACATTTGATTTCTAAATTAGAAAGCACATGACTATGTTTCATGGACCTGAAAGAACTGGGTCTGAGTTAATATCATGCCTATACCATTGATTTCACTTGAGCCTTTTGTATCAGAAACCACATGTACACAGAGACTCACATTGTGAAGCAAGATTAATTTAGCTTTTGGAATATTATGTGCTGTGTAAGAATGTTCTGTGAATGACCTGGATTGCAAATTTTGCTTCTTAATATTTGCAGTGCAAAGCACTGGTGACATGAAATACTTAATGGTTTCAGCTGAACTTTGCAGAAATGAGAATGACAGGCACCCAAAATAAGAAGATACGTGGTGGAGAACTAAGCAACGTAAGGCCTACTGAGTTAGATATTTAAGCCTCAATCAGAATGATAATATAGATGTGAAAGTGGTTGCAAAGAATTTAGAGCTGCAGTCCTTCTAGGAACAAAAAGAGATGGCCCCTCTCTTGCAGAAAGTTAATCTGTTATTACTCTCAGCTCTAATTACGGGGAGCACAACAGAGTGAGTTACCAGGAATATTTCCCTGCTGTAGTTAAAGGGGTTATTTTAGTGTTTCAAATATGTATCCACTTTTAGGGCCAAAACTCTTGGTTCTTCTCTTTGAATTGTTATAGCAATAGCTGAAATAGAGCAAGCTTCCTATGGTGAACCCACCTTAAAGAACAGGGCCACTTGAGGTGATAGAAGTAAATTAACTGTGTGCAAGCTCAGTTTTTGATGTGCTTCCTAGCAGTACCAATTCAACTCATCCAAGTTCCTAAAGAAACATGGAAATTAGGCTATTACCCGTAAGTGAAAGCCGCTATATATTGTCCTAGTGATCCCTTATGTGCAGTTGCACTTCAACATTACCCACTTTTATGTCAGTAAAAAATTGGACTACTTGGCAGTTGCAATTGCTGAGTTTATGAAGCTTAAGCAGCATAGATTACAGCTTTGTACTGGACCAGAGACAGTAAAACCATGGGTCTCCTCTGTTGTGCTTCTTGCTGGTTACCAACCAGTATCTGCTATTTTTCCCAAGCACATAGATATGCTTCTGCAGAAATTATCCTTGCACCAGTAACAGAGATAGTAAACATGTTCCTTACTCATAGTAATGAGATGCAGAAATACCAACTTTTCTTGAACTCAGTATTGCTGATAATAACTTTTACTCTTAGAAATTTGCATTCTTCCATGTGTCTGGATTGATTCCAGTCTTACATGTTCATGTACTCTCCTAGACCAAACAAATTTCCTCCTCAGTGCCTCGCTGAAACACCACATTTTGCTGCCTGCTTGGTCCTTCCCCACAGAAGAGGCCAAACAAGCATTCCCTAAAGCACCGCAGGTAAAGCCAGCCTGGTTAGCTCATATCCATGTTCATCGCCAGGTGAAATGAATCCGACTGACTTAGCTTAAAGCAGATTAGAAGGCAATTTGTGATCCCTCTCACTAATGGAGCAGTATGCCGGGTACCCAGACGGCAGCAGCAAGCACTGAAATAGGGCTATCACCTCCCAGAAGAGCTTCCATGCAGCCTCAGGTTTTCTCACCACTCCCATCATTAAACACAGTTTCGCACCCCTGAACTTTCATGCTTTTTCTACATAACTTCATTTATTTTTACCTTAGTGGCCATAACTAAAGATATATTTTGACATTTTAAATGAGTCTTCTCTGTTCAGCCTGCTCTGCCTGTCTTTATTAATTAAACTTGTGTCTTCATATCAGATTTCTTGAGCTCATCTCTTTCCGTTTCAGCTCTTTGCTTTCCATTTGCCTTCATTATACCCTTCCATCCTTGAACTGCACTGAACTCTTGCTCCTTCCACATCTTCCTGTACAATACTCAGATCTGCTACATCTCTGCCTAATTTTATCATGGCTGATGCAAAATCTTAGCTGCAGAACCAGCAGTAAGGGGACAGACTTTTCTCTTTGCCACATTTGTTCTCAGTCTTCTATAAAATCTCGGCTGAAAATGAAGGACATTCTCTTCTGTGACCATAACTCTGCACCCCTCCTTTCTCTGCCAGTCTTCCTTCTGGGATATGTTTTAATACATTATCATCCATGGTAACTGCACGGTTTATATTTGCAGCTTTTCAATATGCTTGGAGTCAGGGTTTTCCAGGTGAATCATGTATTAAGATTTAATCTGAATCTAGTCAGATAGTATTGACCTGCGTTGAAAAAGCTGTATGAATGAGATAGTAGCAGACAGCTTGAAGTGCTGAGTGAAAAACAATACCCCAGAAGTTTGGTGGCAGAGAGCATATGGGACATTTCTTACTGGAAAAGCTTCTTTGGTTATTTAAATATTTTGATCTGTTTTTAAGACTTTCCCTGTCTGTTGAAGGTTTGCTGGACTTTGCCTGCTTTGGCAGTGTGCGCAGCATGGAGCTTGCAGGAGCTGCTCACTGCTTGGTAAGCTACCACATGTTGTTATCAACTTTAAGGTCTCACTGTTTTGCTGGAGTAGACTTCCCCAAGATTGGAACAAAGAAGAACTGAGCCCGAGACTTCAGCTTTCTGATGCACCTCTCTATGCCCTTTTCAGCTGTATTTCCCACTGTTCAGTGTTAGCAGTCATTAGGAAACATGTATTTTGTTTCCAAACTCAGAGTCTCCTGAAACAAATCCCTAGGCATTGTGGTATTGCTGCAGCTTGAAGCCTCATTGTGTTAAGACCACAAACAATGGGCTGGACCTTTCCCAAACAGCTTTTAGTCCAGGTCATGGATATGAGGGATAGACAAGGGATGCCATTTCCGCATTTATCTGGGTTGATTGGCTAAATGTGATGAATTATTTTAGCAAACATATTCCAAATCTCCCCCATTGCTTTTTCACAAGTTCCAAATTCGGACATTGTTGTCAGTGAAAAGGAACAATTCAAATGCCTTTCTGAATGCATTTGAAATGAAATAAATTACTGTTATTTCACTGGCAAACCAGCTCTTTGGAGGGGGCAAAAGTTGCAGATGGAAAAACAAATAAACAAATGAGTGAGTAACTGTGGGAGGTGCTGCCAGAATCAGAAGCAAGTCTGGATAGAAGGGGGAGGGAAAGGCCCTTGTCTGCCCTGGGACAATTCGTAGAGAACAAAATGCAGGAGAGTTCAGCAGGAAATAAATTCACTTCTCTTCTTCTTGTCCTTTCTCTCTCTCTATTTAACCCAGACAACCGTGCAACCATGCTACCAGAACTCCTGATACTACTCTTAAAGTGGACCTTTCTTTGAGAAAGAAAATGATTCCATCTTTTTTGATCAGGTTCTTCCTCTAGAGGAGTTCCTGCAGCTACAGGACCAGGAGGTAAGACCCTTGGTTTCAATTGTAGAGGGGAAGAATGAATGAGATTGCCAAATACACTAAGTTTGCAGTCAATGAGCTGAGAAAAGCATGACTGCAAGCTACCTTTCTGCTTTCCAAATCCTGGACTGGTGGAAAATCAAAACATTGTTTAGGTCAGCTTGCAGGCATAGAGTATACTTCACCTCCCATGAACTAGGGATGGAAAGTAAAGGAAGGACTGTTGCAGAGATGCTGGTTCTCCTCTCTCCAAAGACTTCCTGCTGAGGAGAATCCTCAGTTGTCCATTTAGGGTAGTATTAGAGCTGAGCTGAACTGCTAAGGCATGCAAAGAAGCTGCAGATGGGACTGGAAGTACAGCTCCACACTTCTCTGTTGAGCCACCCAGTTACAGCAAATGCCTGATATAGGTGGGTACTGAGGCTGTTGGTAATGGCTAGAGGCAGAGAAATGGGTCTGGTTTTAATAAAAAGGTAGTTTACGAACAGCATTTTTCTTATTTTAATGATAAAATGGATATGAAACAGTTACACTCCAGGCCCTTATTTTTCAGTGCTATTATTTTTTTAGAACATTGAAAACAAAATAAGCAGGAGGAAAAAAAAGGGGGGGAGGGGGGAAGAAAACTCCCTTCAGACAACAATCACCTTTTGAGTTAAATTCTCATGCTTGGTCTTAGCCCAGAGGGATTTGTCTTGAGTGAAGTTTGAAGAAAATCCTTTCAGCAGTTTTTGAGTTATTTAAATGTAACCATGGAGGTTTGGATTCACATGCTTTTTTGCACTTGTATAACTCAAAAATAGCTTTGCTTTAAAACTTCTAAATTAACCCTCCTTAACTTTTCAACTTGTCACCTATCCTACTGTATGGCTTGTAAAATTTTAAAGGTAATAGTATAACAAACTCAAATAATGATACTGCAGATGTTCAAATGAATCTTGGGAGGAATAAATTATAGAACTCACAGAAGGTTGATTCTGAAGAAAGAGCAGCCGTGTGCTTTAAACCATGTGTTCTTGCTGGTTTGAAACAGGCCCGATCTTTTTTACTATTAAAAAGCATAAGTGTGTTTGGGTGTGGATTTTAATACTTGGTTACACACATGAAATTGAGCGCCTAAGTCCTGTTCCTTTTTGTCTTCCTCACAGCAGTGCTTCAGACTTGTCAGAAGTTTTACTGTTTTTTTTTTTTAACATGATCCTGATCAACGGGACACTTCAATGCCTCCTAAATATTATGGACTTCAGAGTCACTCAAATGCTTGGCGATTGTCTTACTGTTATTTTATTGCCAGAAGATCGAGGCAACGCCAGAAGTGACTTGGTCAGCCTTGTTTTTTCTTCTGTTTTGTCTTCTTTCCAATGTTTCTGCCTCACTTACTAGTCCTGTCTTCACTGCCTCCTATCTGTCTTTCGTACATCTGTCTCCATTTATTCTTCTCTAACAATTGTGCTAAAGAGAGCCCATGATAGAGAAAAATGATTTTTGCCTTGGCAGCAGCCTTTTCCTTTTATCTTTTCCCTAAATGCCTGGGATGGGTCCAAGCAGCTCTCCCCATGTTCATCATCCTCCACATCCCTGGTGCCCTTGAGCTCCAGCCAGCAATTTGATGTCTGCCACAAGAGCACCCCCCGTTGAGCCACAATCAGATGAAGGTGTTGCAATGCCTTGTGCTGCTTTCTTTGCTCGCCGTGCTTGCTCAGCCTCTTTCTAGGAACTGGACACTCGCACCAGGCCTCTCCCACAGAATAATGGCGGATAGGACTGCTGCCTTTTGCACGTCTTGCCCCTGCACTCCTCTGCCTTTTTTTCTGTAATAGGCTTTTCTGGTACAGTCTGCTGGCTTGTGCCATTAAACTGAGAGACAAAAGACTTGTCTTCAGCTGTGCCGAGGGCAAGATGAGCTGGAATCCCTTGCCCCCCTGGGTCAGCACTCTACCCGAGAGATTATCAGCTGTTCTGCAGGGAGTGTGTCCTTGCAGTCCTGAGTGTGTGTGTCCTGAGTCCTTTCTTCATGTGCGAAAGCTTGGGCTAGTCTTGCCAGCTGCATAGTGGAAAAACATGTCTGTCAGGCCCTACCCTGAGAAATACAAAATATGGAAGTATTCACTAGAAAAGGGAAACAACCCCCAGAAACCAGGTTTTCTTGCCCTCAGTAATGCTCTGAGAGCAATTATTCCTTATAAACTGGAACAGCTCCAAGGGAATGGATCAGAGAGAGCCCCTATTCCAATGGATTCTTTCAGCCTGTTCTGGTCTCACTTTGGCTGCTGAGAATCAAATAATGGGAATGGGTAGTGAGGAAATATGTGGAGGCTGTACAGGAGGGAAGGGAAATGTGCTTCTGAACATACTCTGTTATCCATGTGAAAGGTCCATATCCTTAGCAGACACACACACCTGTTGCTACTGCTTCTGTGGCCATTCTGAACAGAAGTGACAATGAAAATGCAGTGGAGGGAAAAGACATCTGCTAAAAGACAGGGCAGCGAACTGGGGCACTATAAGGATGATTGCTTCTGAAGGTGAAAGTACAACAAAAACAGACTGAAGAGTCTTAAAATGCAAAATCAATGCCAAAGAAAGGAAGCCAGAATGATTTCCAAGCTCGTCTACAGGCAGTTGTCCCACAGCACAAGCCAGACTCTGTCAATAGGTGGGAGACATCCAGGAATTTTCTCTCGTACAAAATTATTGGGGATATGTTTTAACTCGAATGGAAAAACTGGACCTGTAGTGCTCAGCTCCAAGGGAAAATACTAGCCAGTGGAAGAGCTGTGGTACCATGGCTCGGTGTGTGTGTCTGTGTGGCTGCTCCCTTTTCTCTTATCTGTTCTATAGCTTCCTTCATTCTTCGCTTCTCTCATATTACAGAAAGAAGGTAATTTTTCCTGGCCATTTACTAAAGCTCATTAAAGACCGAAGAGAACAAACAATGCTACTCCTTAGAGACTACCATTCAAAGTCATTCTACAATTCTCTGTTCTCATACTTGAGACAAATTAATTATTCCTTAGTGAAAAGTATATAATTCCTATTCTTCATTTTTGGGGTGGGGAGTGGGAAATAATAATAGGAAGTTTATATCTGAGTCGAAAGCTGTCTGTGCTGAAGGGAAATGAGAAAAAATGCGTGTTCCGAGAAGAGTAAAAGCAATTATTCTAATAATAATTCTAGGGATATTAATGTCTTTTTAAAGTAGATTGCTTTCAAATAAACACCAAAGTTGAAGGGATAGGAAAGGCTGGTTTGTTTATTAATCATTCCAAAAGTGCATTTTTCTAAATGAACAAGTGCATGAGCAACTTCACTGGCACATATTAAATTTAGTTAAATGGCAACTTGTAAATGTCTAAAAACTTCTGTAACCAGAGACTAATTTGTTTAACGTGTTGAAAATGTTATGTGGATGTGAGGAACTACATATTAAACTTCAAAGCAAAATACTCCAGAGATTACACCATCTTAAAGACTGCATATTGGAAAGGCCTTTATAAATTAAACATAAAGGATTTTTAATTCTCTTCTATTTTGAATACTTGTCAATCTGCGTGACTCATGCTCAGGACTGCAAACTGTCGTTTAAGGTGTGATGTCCAAGTTGAGGCCTGGACCACAGTTTGCAAGGGGCTGGCTTTTCTCTTTCATCTCTATTAATTAATCCTGTCTCAGTTTGCCCAGCGTACACTGCTGTTGACATCACCTTTTCCATATACTTTAAAGAGTCCCCCGAGAGATCTACTGCAGAACAAAAACTGGACAGAGAATACATTTGGAAACCATTTTATTTCTCAATTACCAACCAAAACGTATGGAAAAGATTTACACTCTATCTGATTTACACAATAATTATACTTTGAAAGCTTAGGAATAAATGGCTTGATCCATGGAATCATTAGTTACTATACCAAATGTAATTGGTGTAAACTAATGAGTTTACTGGATGGCTGACCCTTAATTACTGATTATAGTTATGCTAGCCAATCAAAAATGAGTTTACATATAAAAGTACAGTATAGTATTAACAAGCATTACATTTCCAAGTAAGCAGCTTTATGATTAGTTGTAGCACACAACTCAAGCCTGTTCAGGGCTATGAAAAGCAGCTTTTTAATAATAGTGCAGTAAGCAACCATCACTCTCTTACCTCAGCGTCTATCAGACAAACAGAAAGAAACCACATAATTAATCATCTCATGCACTAGAAATAAAGCGTCTGGGCCAGATCCAGCCGGGATGTGCACAGCCGTAGTCAGAGGAGCTGCAGGAGGCTGAGGATTTGCTTTAGAACAGGATACCTGACATGGGGAATTCTGTCCCCCTGTAGTAACGATGTTAAATATTGATTGATTGTACACAGTCCTGTGTGATGTGGAGAAGCCCATCAACAGAGTTGGTCTAATAGCTCCTAGAATTGAGGAAGATTCCTTGAGCAGATTCTGTATGCGGTGAGAGGATACCCACTTACTCTACCAGTAACCCTCAACATGCAGAAATTCACAGCTCATCACTATTTATTATGTCAAATGAAGAGTCAACTTTTAAATAAACTAGTAAATGAGAAGAAAATCTTTGTATTTGTTTCTGGCTGATCCTTAAGAGTTAATGTTTTTACTTAACCAGGAGAACTCAAAATTCTTATTAGAAAAAATTGAAAGCAGATTTGTATAAAAGAGCATGATTCCAGAGTTGCAACTTTAAATAGATACAACAAATATTTGGATAAAATCATAGGACTTTACAGTAGTCATATTCTTAGAGGCACTTAGGTAAGCAACGGCAGTGTTTTAAGGATGTGGAAATTCTCCATCTCCTCTAACTTTCCTGTGAATCCTCAATTTCAGATAGGAGACTGCTGCAGGGAGGCATGTGCATTAGCAAATGAAGTCTGATACATTGCAGCCATGGGGATCAAGTTGGAAGAGTGTGCATTCACTGGAGCTCTGTAACCCATGTGCTCTTCAGATGACCTCATACACCTCACAGTTGCCAGGACTCATCCTGTCTGGATTACAGGTTTCTCTCATTTCTGCTTCTCTCAGTGAAGTTGTCCTCAGTGCTCACCTCACGTAAACAGCTAGGCTCAGTGGAGGACCATCCTCATCTGGTGGCTCTTTGGCACAAGTGCCATAACACTTGCTCATTTATTATTAAAAAAAATCTTAAAACTCAGAAGATGAAGAATGAATTAATCCTTGGAACATCTGCATATGGTTTAAAGAGAAATTCAACGCGTTTACTGAATTCCTGTTTTTCAGATGTCTGAGGTCAAGAAAAGGTTAAAGTTGTTCACAAGCTCTGGCCTTAGAAGTTAATTCAGTGCTGTGCTGCGAGAGCTACAGAGTAGGTCCTTGGAACAGTGAATTGCTGGTTTGATATCAAGGTCTGTGGGCTTTAATAATATAATTAGTTTGTTTTCTAAGGAAATCCTAGCAGGGACATTATGGTCATATAAAGTCATTATACTGTTTTACAACATAACTTTAACGATGTTTTGGAATGATCAGAGTCTCTGGGAAAGGATTCTATTTTTTATTACTTGTGGGATATCTTTAAACTGTCATAGCTACAACAGTGCCGCTTGGAATAGGTGCTCTACAGTTCCAAAGAAAAGACAAAAGATATTTAGAGGCCTAAGTTGGGTTGCTGGAGCATATCTGTCCATAGAAAGCCTGAAAGTTAAATTGTGTGGATTCCACACCCTTCTGACAAGCAGCTCCTGTTTTGTAGGAGGTGGACAGTTGGGGTAATCTAGGTATTTTATTGCATTACCACAGGAACAGATAGCCTAGGATGCTACAAGTTTTGCTTTTCATAGTTCTCTGTCAGAATTCAGGAGTGAGCAGTTTTAAAAGTATTAGAAAAGGAAGAGGGCATATTTTCCAGAACTTTGGTATCCTGCGAACTCAAAGACAGAAGAAACATTAAACTAGTCAAACTAAAAAACTAGTTCTGCTGCCATTTCTGCTCTGCTAATTCTGAGGCAACACCATCTGCTGGAGGAGAAGGGAGACAAAGAACCATTAATTTGGGATGAGGGGAGCATGCTACAGAGAGGTTTCCCTGTGGTGCAGAGCAGCTTCTGGATGTGCTGAGGGACGGGTCTGTTAGGGCCTCATTTTCTTCCTCCTCTGTAAACTATGTCTAACAGCTTCAGTGAGAGAAAGCATCAAGCCCCATTGTGTTCATAGAAATACAACATATTTTAAAGCTGTAGTTAATGGATAAGCTGCTTTCTGATTGGGTGAGCTGCACAATAAATCTCTCCATGAGCCAAGTGCAGTGCAGCTTGTTCAGGAACAGTGAAATGAGCCACTGTCACTTTGCTGCACTCTCATACATCAGGCAAAACGCTTCCATCTTCATCAGTCTTTTAGTAAAACAGAAATAAAACAATCGTAACAGAATGGTGTCACTGGATCCGTGGCACCTGCTTTAAAAATAAATCTCTGAGCTTTGTCTTTGCTATTACTTTCAATAAATGTCCTAGCATTGCCACAGCATTTATCTAGCAGCAGGAAACCATTATCCTATGACAACAATCTATTCCATTAACATTAGCTCTTAATTGTAAGATTGTTTATTAGACAGCAAAAGCTACTGAATTATACTAGAATGATAAAAAGAGTTATGGTCATGGAGTACAGCAGTCACTCCAGTTCTGAAAAACAACTTTAGAAAAGTAGAGAGCTATATTTTCATATGAAAAATAATGTAATATTTGTATGCAAGAAAATGTTTTTAAATAATGTATTACATCAGCAAAATAACTCTTAAAGAGTTAATGTTAAAAATTGTTACTGAGAAGCTTTTGCTTTGATAAATGGCATAACAAAAAAGCTGAATAGAAAGCTCAGAAACTTGCATAGTTCTTCCTGAAAGGCTGTACTGAGTCAAACAGAGAATCACAGTAACAGAAGCACATTTGTCTGGCGGAGTCAACAGAAGGAATGTTGCAAAATTGAGATATGAAGAACCTGACTGCAGAATAGAAGAACTGTCATTCTGATTGTTTGTCATTATTGTTTCATGTCCAGTTAAGTGAACTTCGAGTGACAGTTGTGTCATAACTACTGGCATCTATGTAAATTTCAAATCAAATGCAATAGAGGCAGTTCTGCCAGACACAAGTCTCCAGACTGCTTTTCCTCTTTACTTTGGTAACCCTCAATTTTCTTATACTATGCTGTTAGCCCTTAAATTAAAAAGACAACTTCAACAAGAGATCCCTTTAATGTGTGCTTTTCAGATCTCATTCCGTACCTTATTTTTCCCTCAGCTCTTCAAAACAATAGCTGATGTCAACATTTCTATCAGAAACAATCACCATAAACATTTAGATATATTAGCAGAAAGTGCTCCTTCCCATCGATCACATACATCAAAAATCCTTGGAAACTTTTAAGTTGTGGAATTCCCCTGAAGACCTATAGAGAAAATGGCTCAAGTGAACACTCCTCTGTTCCTTCAGTGGAGCCCGAGTCAGTTGTGACGAGCATCTGCTCTGTGGGTAGGTGCAAAATACACGGCGAAAATATCAGCCGTGGATCCCTTCTGTAAATAATAGCCTTGTCCAGAGGTTATGGGGCCTTCACAAGGACACCAGTCGCACCCCTCCATGGCACTGTGTTACAGTAAGTAACTCGCTTCCTGGATGCACTTGTAACAGGCAGCTATTCTAATGACACAGGATATGCAGATGTGTCCAGGTCTTTAAAAAGTCTTCCAATGCAATTATTAAAGTATTATGTGCAGATAACGCCACCAAAAACATTGGGCATGCTGTTCATTCAGTTGAGCATGAAACAACTTCCTTCTGAATATTTTAAACGTACTTGACTAATTAATTGAACAATTAATAAGGGCTAGAGTTAAATTTCTATTTTTCATTGTAACATTGTTTCAGAGCATTGTTTTAACTAAATTCTGCTAGGACTTTTTTTGGAAACCACACCAAAGTGCAGCTATGATGTTAAACAAAAATGTTCCTTTGACAAATGAAATCTTAAAAATGGCTACAAGAAAGGAAAAAGTCAGCTTTGAGTGGAAAACATTTAATATGTTTTGATGATTTCTTATCTCAGACAGAAGGGAAGACAAGTTGATCTTCTCTGCTGAAACTTTTTGAAGTGAGTTCTGACTGAAAAGATGTGGTGTTTCAACAAAAACAAATTGTTATAAAACATGATGTATGCTCAGAAGCATTAATGTGTACCTCTCTGCTCCAGGTTTGAACATTTCTGTCCATTGAACTAGCCTGTTTCATTTATTTTTTAAATTCTTATCCAGTTGATCTTTTTTTGTTCTTCTATAAGTTTACAGTAGTTCAATGGCTGCTTTTATCTGTGATGTGGGCTTTCAAACAGCACCAAACTCTGCTGTCCCATCCTGTAATCTGTCCTTTTGTTATGGTGACTAGCGAACAGAGGCAACATGTTAGTGCAAGCACTATAAAAATATCTGTGAAGAAAACATTCTTTCACTCTAAAGGATAAGTTCCATAAGAATATATATTCTTAAGTATTTGCACAATACTTAAATATGGTATGGATTTTTCTTTTCAAAGGTGGTAATATCCTAATCGTAAATATCTTCTTGTTTATATGTATCATTTTACAGATTTGTAATCACAGAAATCAATTGCTAGAATCCATTTAAGAAAATCAAAATAGTTTAACTGATTTACTTAAAAAAATGCCTTGTTAGACCACGGAATTTAAAGTCCTCTTTCAAAATTAAGGATGTTTTATGTAGCAAACTTATCATTACACATTACATTCTAGTGGCACGTAAAGACTTCTGATTTAAAACATGAATTCTGTGTAGGTTCAAACTGATGTCTTTGACTTCAGTTCCAGAACTCAATTTCAGGACTTCTGCTGCTGGTGGCTCATGGCAGTATATTAGTTCTTCCAATAGGGATGTGCTCAGGACAAATTAGTGAACGTAATTTTAGCTGTATGAGGTCATTACAAATACAGTCTTAGCTCTTCCTAGAGTGGACTTCATTGTTAATATAAATATATATCTATAGTTACTGACATTTATATTATTTGGCTCCTGTCCTAAGTTATGGATACAGTGATGATAAAAGCCCTTACCTAAGTGAGTCATGCTTACTAATTACTTCCATGGTACTGGGTTCCTGTAAATAAAGTTACTCATGTATTTATAAGCAAGTCAAAATTTATACATACGTTTCTAAGAGTGAGTTATCTTTCTCTCTGGGGCAAACAGCACAGTCTGCTGTTTGGAAAAGAATGCTGAGAGTAAGGACATCCAGGGTGCTTCCTTGCTTCTGCGAGGGTGTGTGCTCTCCCCTGTTGTTGGATATCCAAGTAAAATACTTAATTTGGTCACATTTTTAAATTAAGACCCTTCTGCATTATTTCAAGGTAGGAAATGGCTGTTGATTTTTCCTCGCTGTTTCCAAAGAGGCTGGGGTAAGAGAGTCTCTGTCTAATTGTTTGTTCTAAAGATGTAGCTTTCAAGACACAAAGCCTAGCAGTGTGACGTGGAAGATCTCAAGACAAAGCAGCAGCCTCAACATTTCTCTCTAATGAGAACAGGAAAAGACAATTGAGATCCCGTAGGAATGCAGTACATTTAGGAGAGAAGCAGAGCTCCCTTCACGAATGGTGAGAGAACCCTGGTGAATGCTGGACTACCTGCTGTCTCTGGGTGTGACTAGGTGAGTGAAGGATTTGGATCACAGCCACAGTAACGTTTTCCAGACATTTAGATTGCAACTACTACGCCAGCAATTTTATGCCTTCCTTTCTCTGACTCCAACAGTACGCAAGATAAGCAGCCAGATTTTCTTCTGCATTGTGTTTTTTATCCATTCAGCCAAAATTAACAGTCTTCAAGGATAATGTATGCCAAGTGAATTTAAATCTTGCGGACTCAAATCGACCTAAAGTTGATGGATACATTCATGCCTACTGCTGAAATCTACCAATTACACAGAACTATGCTAACTTACCATAGAAACATCTCATCTAATAGCACAGATGATGTTGAACTAACTAATTACATTATGGCACATAGACAATGAAAAACATAACGAAGATGACAGCACAGCAACAACAGATGCTGCACAAAAGAAAAATTAGAAAAATATTGCTCTGCAAAATGCTGTCTGTTAAGGTTTCTTCTGTTAAAATTAATCACAAAAATTAGTGAAGATTAGATTTCAGCAGCAGATATGAGCATTGTAATGCTATTTGGAAAACGTCATTAAACCATTTAAAGTCCTACTCCTTCAGAAGGTAATTCCCATTTTTCGTATCACTATCAGTTTTAAGATGAGTAAACAGTTTAGTGCCGATGGCATTTTCTTGGGAGAATATCTTTCCCAGTGAGGAGAGGTCCCGATGGCTCTTCCAGAGCTGTGTTTGGTAGCTTCCAGCCATTAGAACTTAGATAATTAGGCAACTCAGATTTTATTTTAGCTTGGCATTTGCTCTGGTCTGTGCTCTTGGCTGTCAGTGACAGTTGATTATCTGTAGCGTGCCTTGTTACTTGATATATTTTAAACTGTAACAGATCCTAAATTCCAAATCTGAAACTGCTGAGTATGTTTAAATGTAATATATACACAGGGATTACATCCAGATGATACACTTCATAGACCTGTGATAAAAAAAAAAAAAAAAAAGCATCACTTCTAGCCACCACGCTGGTCCTCAGCCCCTGCCGTCCTCCCCCCAGTAGCTTTCCATGAGCTCCCGGCTGCTTCAGCACCAATCCTGAGTGTAATCTAGTTGATGGAGAGAGACAGAAATGGGCTTTTCCCCTAAATATATATTTCCTCTAAAAATGCTTCTGATGCTATTCAAGTTTCAATACGTTATTGGCTTTATAAGAAAGCAAAACATCTATTTGAGATCCTGTTTCTCCCAATTTCTTTATTTTTTAGAGAGACACTTTTTTTCTCTTCAGATGCGCGGTTCCCGGGCGCGCAGCTGCTCGTCCGGCGGCGGCCGGGGTGCAGGCACGGCGGAGGCCCACAGGTGGCGGTGTGGTTCAAGCGCACCTGGGCTGTGATTGCAGAGCCGCGCGGCTGGCCGGCCTGCCAGGAAAGGTGCTCCGCTTCTGCCCTCTGCGCGTCCGTCTGCAGGGGAAGACTCCCGGCTGAAGTTCCGCGCGCTTGAGCGGCGCGCCCCAGCCTTCAGCAGGGACGGAAGCGTTCTGTCGATCCCGCAGCAGCTGCCGCACACCAAGATGCCTCTGGGTCACCCGGTGGGCGCCGGGTACGGCGCTGGCGGTGCCCCGCGTGCTGCCGCCAGCCGCCTACAGCAGGGTCAGCCCTCCCACCGCGCCCCGCTGTCCTGCCTGGTAGCGGGAACCGGCCCTGTGAAGTTCGGTTCTTTCGCAGCTGTGCGGAATCTCGGCCCCGCGCTGCGCACAGCTGTGCGCTGTGTGTGACGAACGCCTGCACGCGCTCTGCACGTCGGTGCCAGGCAGGAGGCTGCTCGTGTCCGCACACGGCCGCGTGTGCCGAGCGCGCCGGGATAGCGCCTGGTGCTTAAGGGTACTTCGAGCGTTTTTGAGGGGCTTTTTCACCCGGATACGCTCACACTTGTCTTGCGCGGCACACTTAGGCCTCAGAAAGCGTGCCGTTAGTGCGAATTTGTTCCACTTCTCAGAGTCCCTACCGCGTGTTACTTCTGATCCACTGCCACCCCCGGACTTCCCTCTCAGAAACCTGTCTTCTCAAGCGTCCGCCCGCGCACCCGGCGCCGTCCGCAGCACCGTGACCCTCGCAGGGCACTGCTATAGCGGCGGGCCGTACCCCGGCGCCGAGTACCAGCCGCTGGTTTGGGGCTGGGGAGGGGTCTGCCCGGCAGACACCCTCACGTCCTCCGCAGCCCCCGACCCGGCGCGAGAGAGGGCCGCAGGCAGCGCGAGGCGCCGTGCCCAGAGGGCTCCACGAGGGCCGGTGCCGCAGCGCTCAGCCGCGTGCCGCCGCTGCGGGCGGGCCGCTCGGGGCGGGAGCCGCCAACTTTCTCAACTGGTGGCCGCGAGCGGAGCGGGGCGCGGTGCCGCGACTGCCGCCAGCAGCGCGGTGCTCTCACGGCCGCGGGCGCCGCTGCTCAGCGCCGGGCGGGGGCGGCGGGCGCCGCTTCCCACCTGACTCCCTCCTTCCCCTCCATTCCCCTCCATTCCCCTCCTCCTCTCTGCCCCCCCGTCTCCCCCGCGCCCGCCCTTTTTTTTTTTTTTTTTTTTTTTTTTTCCTGCTCTTTCACTCATTCCTTTGTCTTCCCCGGGATTGGCAGGTTTTATTATTCCGCCTGAACAAGCCGGGGGCGGATTGGCTGCGGCGGGCGGGCGGCGGGGCCGGGCCGGAGTGTAGTTGGGATTCTGCTCTGTCAGTAACACATGTGTGAGTGAGGGGCAGCGGCCGCGCAGCACGCGGGCCCGCTCGCGCCGCGCAGGGACACGCGCGCCCCCGGGCCCGCTTCGCTCTCCGCGCCGCCGCCGCCGCCTCCGCCCCGCTCTCCGGTCCTCCGCTCGCAGCGCTCGGCGGGCCGCGGCAGCTCGGCTCCGCGCCGCGGGAGCTCGGCCGCCGCCGGAGCCCGGCGGAGAGGCGGAGGTGGGGGCGGGGGGAGCGGCGCGAAGTGCGGCGGCGGCGCCAAACTTGCGGCGGCGGCCCCTGCGCGTGCGGCTCCGCGGGGCCGGAGGGCGGCGGGCGCCCCTCAGCGCCATCTCCGCGTTTCTCCGGCCCGGACCGGGGGCCGCCGAAGGGCGGGCGGGCGGCGGGCGCCGCGCTCGGTTCGCGGCGAGGAAACCGCGGTGCCCCCGAGCGGCGCTGCCCGGCCCCGCGCACCACCGAGGGGAAGCAGCAGGTAAGCGGTCCCGCGCTGCCGCAGGGCCCGGCGGGCGGGAGGGAGGGCGCGCGGGCGGGCGGGGGGGAACCGGCCCCGGCGTCGTCGCCGTCCCCGCGTACAAAGCGCGGCCGCCGCCGCCCCGCGCCCGCGGCGGGGAAGGGCTGGGAGGGAGCGGGAGGGGCTGGGGAAGGACTCCGGCGGCCTCGGGCGGAGGGGCCGGGAGGGCTCGGGCGGCTCGGGCCCCGTGTCCCCGTAGTAAACACCGCTCCGAAACAGCGGCAGGAGAGATCAAAGTGCGCCGCCGCCTCCTCGGCAGTCCCCTTTCTGCCCCCCGCACGGCCTTTTGTTTCGATCCGGGAGAAATCCGGTGAATCACCTAATTAAAACCGAGACGTGAATTAAGCATCCATTTTCGTCCTACAAATTGCCAGCTCCCCGCGCGTCCCTCCCTCGGTCTCCATTAAAAAAGCGCCGGGGGGGCCGCCCGCTTCCCCGCCCGCAGACGGGACCGCGCTCCGGCCGTGTAATTACCGGAGTGCGCCTATTTAAGTTAAAAGCTTTTCCCCCCCGACTCCAAATGAAACTTGATGAGGGCCCGTCCTTAGTTATCAGGGGAGTCACTTTCTGGTCAGTCCTCTTGATTCATCTTTTTAGATTTAATCAGCATTAGGGTATTGCTTGTCCTTAAGAGCTTTAGCTTAATGGGGTTACTGGATGCCGTTCTCGGCGCGGCGTTTCCCATTTGATAGATATTCTCCTCCGACAAAGCCGGGCTGAGGTGGCACCAAGGCCGGTTCTTTCTTTTAAGAAACCCGAAGTGATTTAAGGCGCGGGAGACGGCGTGAGGGCTCGGAGCAGGAAATGCAGATTCATTTGGGCTGTAGCTGGAAACTGTAACAAAAGGCAATTCCCGAGCAAATGCATCAGAAATCAATTTACATAAAGGTATATGATGCGTTCGGATAAATGCGATGCTAATGGCTTTTAGAGTGGTTTTCTTTCCAAAGTCTCGGGGTTTTGTTACAGCTTAATTGGTGCAGTTCTCCGCTTTATTGTGCGGTCGCTGCGCGCACCTCCGGGGCCGGGCCGGGGGCAGAGCAGGGTGCGGGCACTGCCCGGGCCGCTGCGGGGACAAAGGCTGCGGGGCGGGCGGCTCGGCTCTTGGAGCGGGCAGCGCCGGCAGCTCGTTGGGCTCCGCGCTGAAGGCAGCGAACTAATCGGGTTAGAGTAAGCTTTATGAATTGATTCCTCTGCCGTCTCCCAGTTGTCCTTCTTGCGCTAAGCGGTCGTTAGAAAGTGGGGAATGCCCTTCGGTGGCAGTCCTGTGGGCGGCCCGCCCGGGGGGCACTGCACTGCTCCCCTGCGCTCGGGAAACTTTTTTTTCCCTCAGAGTAACAGGGCTTTAGCGTTAAACTGCTGATCGAGGGCAGATGAGGGAGACAGAAGTTGGGTCTGTTTGGGTAAGAGGGAAGGTAGCAGGCGGCCCGAAGTTCAGCGATCCGGTCTTGGGGCAGCGTCCTCAGCCCGCAGAGCTTTCTCCGGGCGCTTTCGTGTCTCCGAACCAAAAAAGCCCGACTGCGGCAGCCCCCGGCCCCTGCCTGCCAGGCCTGGGGACTGCCTGCACTGACAAACCAGTTCCGCAACTTTCTTTTTCCCCACTCCTCGCGCACTTCTTTCTCCCCCCACAAGCCAAACGCAGCCGGGGCTGCTCCTTCCTCGCTGGGAGTGCCGCCGGCGGGCCGGCCTACGAGCACTGCGGACGCTCCCCGACCCGAGCCGCCCCTGACCCGCGCCGCTCTCCCGCAGGCCATGGTGAACCCCGGCGGCAGCGCGCAGCCGCCCCCGGTGACGGCGGGCTCCCTCTCGTGGAAGAGGTGCGCCGGCTGCGGGGGGAAGATCGCCGATCGCTTCCTGCTCTACGCTATGGACAGCTACTGGCACAGCCGCTGCCTCAAGTGCTCCTGCTGCCAGGCCCAGCTGGGGGACATCGGCACGTCCTGCTACACCAAGAGCGGCATGATCCTCTGCAGAAACGACTACATCAGGTGAGCCGCCCGCGGGCACGGCTCGGCCCGGGTGGGGAAGGGAGCCGGGACTTTGTGGTGGTTCATCAGCAGGGAGCGGGTCCCGACTAAAAATAAACAGCAATCAGAGAGCTAAATTAATCTGCTTTGTTGTAGTGCTGAAGGAGAAGCGTGCGTATCTGAACGGTAAATGTTAAAATCGTAGGGCTTAAATAAGGCAGCTGCGGAGGTGCTTCGTAATGAAATGCCTGCCTCTAGTATCTGATTAATTATGATATTTACATAAGCACCTTTAAACTCCTCCGAGTGGAAACAGAGTGAGTCATTCTCCCTTCTCCTGGCGAAGGAGCCGACCGCCGCTCTGGGCTCTGCACGCAGCCTCTGCAGAGCGGCTCCCAACTTCCAGCACCGAAAATGCGGGTGGTGGGAGAGCAGGGCTGCGCTCCCAATCCCCCTCCTTACCGCTTTCTTTTCTGAAGCTGTTCACTTTAAGTGCTGCAGAGTTGGGAAGGGGGAACTAAGCCTTGCTAATCCTGCATCTGTTGGGGTACGGGGAGGTTGGCCCTTCCAACGGGTTTCCAATATAATTAATAGAAGGAATTCATGAGGTCAGGTGCCCGTACGATCTTTTCAGGTGAACTCGAGCTACTTAAACTCATTAATTTAAAAGGAGGCATTTTGAAGGATTACACATTTAATTTGAGTAAATGGCTCGATAGACTGATGCACATGAATGCTTTAAGGAGGTGTTCTATTTCAACATTCAGTAATTAAAAAAAACAACAAAAAAGCCCCATACCATCCTGGTGTAGCAGGAACGCTTGGCTAAAACAAATCGTGTTTTGTTTAAGGGTTTCTGGCTTCTCATTTACAGTAAATGTCAGGAGTTAACTGTTTTTCTTTTCCCTTATGGCTGAAAAGTTCCACTTTTTTTTTTCTTCCTTTCTGCAAATGTGCCCAGCCAGAAAACCCTGCAAGTTTGTTTATGCTGTAGAACCTGACCGCTGTTGGAAGCTGAGCGTGTGCATGGAGGCACCTTGGTGGGACGGGATGGGGCCACAGCAGGGCTGTGCTGTCTGTGTTCCATCCTGCTGTCTGTCCCCATCCCACTGCATGGCCCTGTCCTACTGTCTGGCCTTGCCATCCGCTGCCCATGGGGCTGGGCTGCAGCACTGTGTCTTTGAGCAATGGGAGCCTTCGCTTCTAGTGGTGTTGTGAGAGGGAAATGGTCCACCATCACGGAGGCACACGGAGGCGTTCAGTGGTTCTCTTTTTGGTCATCATCCTAAGCAGCAAGCTGAAGCCCAGCAGAATGGTAATTAAATAGAGTAGAACGGTGCTGGGAAGGAGCCTCATTTGAAGTGGAGGAATTGACACCACTGTTGGGCTGCGAAGTGGTACAGATCCATCACTCAGCAGCACCATCAAACAAACCTGTGTCTGATTACTCCTAATTAAAGGGAGAAGATGTGTCCACCGTGTCCCAGAGGCAAGTTCAGGCAGGCTTATCGCAGCCCCCTGGTTTCACGTTGCCAAAAATTAATACTCGTTTATTTTAACGTAGGCGGTTGTAAATAGGATGCTTTATCAGATGAGGGATTTGAATTGATCTCCTCCTTGTATCGCCTGCCTTCCCTTAGATCCGTGCCATCTGCCTGCGAACACGCCTGAGCACACGCTTGCTGGAACTCGACCGGGCCGTGCGTGCCCGGGGCGGGGCAGGGCCGGCGGCGCCCCCCCGTAGCCCTCCCGCGGGGTGCGGCCCCGGGCCGGGGCACGGCGCTGCTCCCTGGGGCCGGTTCCGCCCGCCGCGTCCCGTGGCAGCTGTGCCGGGCGGGAGCCGCGGTCGCGAGGGCGCTGTGCGGGCGGGAGAGGGGCCGCCGCGTCGCCGTGCGGAAGGGGCTCGGGGCGCGCCTGGCTCCCGGTGCCGTCCCTGCGCCCGGGGCTCCCCTCCCCGCCGCAACGCCGGGGGCGGCGCGGCCCCGCGGAGGGCCCCGGGCGCTGGGGAAGGAGCGGGGGCGGCTCTCCCGGCCCGAGATGGCAGATAGAGCGGCGGCGTGGCAGCCGGTCCGCACAATTAAAAGCTTTAATTAGTGTCTCCTCCATTTTCTCTTAGTTCTGATAGGTTTTATCTAATGAGATCTGGTCCCTGGCTTAGATCTGCTCGGAATGACGTGTCCGAAATGAATGAGAGCCGCGTAGCAAACAAAACATTTAATTAACGAAATTGGCCTCTAAGAGAGAGCAGGGAGTGGTGGGGAAGGCGAAGGAAGGGGGGAGGAAGGGGGGGGCTGCCCGGCCTCGTCTTAAAGGGGCAGCGCCCGCTGCCCGGCCCGGCCCCTCCCCGCCTGCCCGCCCGCCCGGAGCGCGCCGTGGGCGCGGCGCTGCCGGTCCTGCCCGGCCGGGGCTGCGGGGGGACCGGGACGGCCGCAGGGCTGAGCTGGGCCGAGCTGGGCCGGGGAGGGGGCCGCCGAGCAGCGAGTTCATTTTGCTGGTAATCAGCGGCAAGCTGCTATATTCGGGGAATGCTGTCCCTTTAATTGAACAGGCTAGGTAATTAAATGGCACTTTTCCAATAGGACGTGCTAGGTAAATCTAATAGTTGGTTATTTAATATCACTTTGAAGTCTGCCCACTCAAGCACAATGACAGCACAGGAGCATGTGAACTATTAGCTAGGAAAAAAAAAAAAAAAACAGGATCTCAAAAATTAATTAAATCGCATGCAATTTAGGGGGAACGTTTATCTTGATTTGTCATAACAGAATTAATTCAAGGCCTCCAATTCACTTGGGGGCAGATCTGTTACTCTGAATTAACCAAGCGTAATTTGGCTGTTTTTTTTTTCCTTCCCCTTCTCTAATGCAGCACTTGCCATTATGCACAGCCCCCCTTTTAAGTATCAATAGCTTCTGGTGCTTTTAAGGTGCTTGGTCTCCAGTTATTCTGAAGTACCTTTAATGGACTTGGCTCCAGGCTGGTTTCTGTGTTGCCTTTCTTTGTTATATTTAATATCGCTGTTGCAGAATTTAGATTAAATGTGGGGAATGTACAGAAACACCAATCGCTTCTGGACCAGTGGGTCTGGATGTGCGTTTCTCTCTGGTAGGGCTTGGGCGTAATTCTGCGGGCACAACAGGCGCTGTGCTGTGTAGGTTCTGGAGCTGCTAAGTCTGTTTACCTCCATGATTTTGGAACCAACAGGAACCTTGCTTTGTTGGTGTAAGTTGCATGAGATATGCTTCTACTGATAGTGAATTTTGAGTGGCAAGAGGTGGAAGGTTGGGCTGGGAGTGTTTCTTGCTGCCTTCGTTCCCACTCTTGTTATGGAAAAAAATGAGGAGAGTGTGCGTGTATTTGGATGTGGGGAGTGCAAAGCTGGAACTCCACGGTAGTCAATTTAAGGTGGCTCGGTAAAAGGCTGTTAAGTGTAGAAGAGCTGCCTTGTCCGTATAGGGAAGCTCTTGATGTTTGTGATTGATTGCATCGCCCAAATGTTGAAATATTAATGACCTTCTTGGACTGAGGACCCAAAGAGGAAACTGAAACCAATTCTGTCATCACAATTAAAGAGTCCCCTGGCTTTAATTAGCCTGACCTGGGGTATCTCTACCCATTGCTGCAGTTAAAGAGAAAAGAGCCCATTAAAGTCCAGTCTGAGACCGATAGCTACTTAATTGAGCACCTAAAGCCTGCAGCCTTTTAAATCAAATACTGTCCTGGACGGTCCCCCCGGTTAGATAATTAGCTCTCCAGCCGCTCAGAAGCCACGTGAAACAACTTTCTCAGTAAAGAATAGTTACTGAGGGGGACTTCCTTTACTGGTAAGAAGGAATAATATTTATTTTTAAAGATAAAACCTTTTTCCTGTTAATGATATCAGAAAACAAAAGCATCCATAACAATAGAGAAGGAAAAATAAGCTTTATTGTCCTAGTGAATAATGCAGAGCACTGGAAGGTGTTCTAACTGCGAGTAATTTTCAGGAACGTCAGCGGAAGATTCAACTGCAGCAGCCTCCCAGAGCAGAGCTGTTCTGGAAACATGTGTAGGGAAAACCCGGGAAAAGCTTCAGAATTAGTTTGGCTCTGTGTATTAAAATGCACAGACGTTCAAGGTGTACAACCACCGCTCGTCAGAGCGCGTTGTATAACAAGTGAATGCTTAATGAAGACAAGCATTGCAGGGAGATCAGCGGTGCAGGGGCTGTGTGTTCAGGCGGGCGGTGCGGTCGCACAGGGGCTGTGTGCCCACTGACACTGCTCGTGTTCTTAGCACAAGTGGCACTGGCTGCTCGCCTGCAGGGCTTTGCCTTTCCGCCCACCCTGCCCAAAGTGCCCTTGTCGTCACCCAGTGCCCTAGATTTTTGGATCTTTGTTCTAGAAATGTGGCAGCGTCTCGCAGCCTCCTTATGGAGCTTCCACGCACCTTTTCTGTGCGCCAACTTCACTGCTAGTAACAATGGAGGAAGAAAAACGCGTATCATAAAGCTGGGGAAGAAACCTCAGTGCATTGTGCAACTGCTCGGAACTGCTCCTGGTTTACAAGATGCCCTAATAACAGACCCTTCGTTTCTAGACAGTGTAGTCCTTTTGGCTGGAGGTCCTGACAATGTATTAGTTCAGCTTTCCCTTTTGTAACCGCTGTGATTCTGCAAGAACGTGTCAATGTGTCGTGGATCTCAGACTAATTAGTTTTGAAATGGAGTTTTGATTGAACTCTTCAAATCGATGCTGCTGCAAAATTTGTTTCTCAGCTTCCTATTAAAAGCCATCTTAAGGGGCAGTTTTACTACTCTCTCTGTCGTTCAGTCGATACATTTAATAACAACTTACAGGCTATTTTCAATAAAGTGGCGACAGCAAATTAGTAGTTTGAACATGACAAGCCACCTCTGCAAGCTCAGATTCTGAAAATTCAAAGCAATTATTTTTATACAGAGGCACACTGCAATCATTCAGATTACGGGTATTCTGTTGTAACGCGTCTCCGAGGTTGACACAAACAAAATTTTATGACTTTATTTGGACAGGAAGGAGATGCAAATATTAATATTTATTATGACACCAATACGCTAATTTGTAAATCCTATTACCGTGTTTTACATCGTGCAGAAAAGCAGGTCTGTGACCCTGCCATCCAGTTTGGTTTCCTTTTTTACTGTGAAATGACTGTGGTACTCTTTCTAAATATTTGTGCATGTAAGAGGGACGCACGGAAAGCAAATAAAGCTTTTCTAATTCTAGCTAATGCAGTCAGGAAAAGTAGAACTCAATAATCATTATTGTATTATATTCTGAATCGATGTGTTGTGCCTTTAAATGGATTTGAAGAATTATGTATATATTTTTCTTCACCACTCTTCTGCCTACTCCCCCCGCCCCCCGCGGGCGGGGCCCCCCCAACCCAATGGCAGATGTTGTGGTCTCATTTGATTGCATAGGAAAACTGCAGTGATACAGCAAACACCCAGAGAGATATGATGACAAATGGGTCCAGATCCCGGTAAATTACTTTCTGCTCAAATCGAAATTTCATTCAGTTTGTTGCTAGCAGAGATGAAGTAATCTAAATTGTGGACTCAGGAGCAGATAGAGGGAAGTTGGAGCAAGCATTTCATTATCAAGAGAGAGAGAAGGTTAGGATGAAAGAGATGAGCAGAGGCAAATCTAAAGTGTTGACACCATGATTGAAAAGGTTAACCCATACACATTATATATCAACCTGGATAGCAGAGAGTTTCTAATGGAAACTCTGCACTGATGGAGGTTTACTGGAGTTTCAATACACTGAGCATGATGTCTTCTTAGATATACAATCAAATCCTCTTAACCCTTTTGATGACTCATATCTCAAGATATGATTAAAGTACAAAAGAGTTCTTCATATAATTTCAAGGACACAATGCATTTAAACTCCAGTCATGAATTGTATCTTTTTTTTTATGATGAACCCGGTAATCTGATAAAATGTGTGTAGTACAGAATTGTTTGTGTTTCTTGAGGTGTAAGTCAATATTTCTGATTAAATCCTGTGTAACCACATCCAAGGTAGGGTGAAGCTACCAGTTGTTAGACAAAAATACACTTTTTCATATTACAGCGTGTAAGCAAGTTGGAAGACAGGGGTCAGAAGTCTAAAACAGTTGTGTAATAAACCATTGCAGTGATGCGCAAAAATGCTTAGAGCCTCTTGTGTGTTAAATTATTCATGATCATCACCTCTGTTTCAGGTTATTTGGAAATAGTGGTGCTTGCAGTGCCTGCGGACAGTCCATTCCTGCTAGCGAGCTGGTCATGAGGGCACAGGGCAATGTCTATCATCTGAAGGTGAGAGGCTTTCTACATCTTTTTTTATTAGCCGATTAGAACTGCCGTGCTTCTGTAGTGTAAAATCTGCATCTACTTATGAATGAAGTGTGAAGCAATAGCTAGAGATACGAGTATGTGTTATGAAGCTGCCCTCAGTGTGCAGCTTTGTTCCCTCATAATCGGTAGAACTATACTTGAGTTATGAACTGCGTGGTCCCAACAGGTAAGGCTAATGCCGTGTTCGGAGATGCTAGAAATCAAGCAGCTTCATATCTCATCTGTGCTCACAGTCTCTGAAGTGTAATTTTCAAACCTGCAGCATACTTAATTTGTGCTGTAGTTTCACTTGCTGTCTCTTTCCTTTCTCAGTGTTTTACATGCTCTACCTGCCGGAATCGCCTGGTCCCGGGAGATCGGTTTCACTACATCAATGGCAGTTTATTTTGTGAACATGATAGACCTACAGCTCTCATCAATGGCCATTTGAATTCACTTCAGAGTAACCCACTACTGCCAGACCAGAAGGTGAATACTCCACAATTACTAATAAGCTTTATTAGAGCTAAATGAAGATCAATTTATTTTCAGTTTAATAGTGGACATTTCCCACCCCTGCAACAAGACCTTTAAGTAACCCAACTTAAGTAATGTAGGCGTGGGGGATGGGGAGGAAGTGCTAACCTTTAAGTATGACATATAGAGTGAGTCCGTTTATTTTGGTTTGGGCACGTGTATCTGTGCAGCTGTTGAACGCTTCACGTACAAAGTGGAACGGAGAGCAGACGTTAACATAAACTTAACAAAGAGGAGCATTTTATTTTACAGTCTTGAAATTAAGGGCTACAAGAGAGCAGGTTTCTGTGGGAGGAAAATTACATCCTTTAATATGGAAATAAACGTTTTGTGAAGAGAAGATTCCTGAGCTGAAGCAGTGTAAGGTTGCAGTTGAGGAGGCATGCTGGGGAGCTCTTTCAGAAGTATTTTCTCGTCTGTTTTCTATGTCATAACTGAGATTTAAAAACTAAAGTGCTATTTTCTTATCGCTCCGTAACAACAATAGCTCAGCTAGAGATCGTGTATCTCTGTGGCTGATGGCTCTTGGTTTGTGCCTAAATGAGTAAATAATGACTGCACGGATCATATAGAGAAGAAGAAAAAAAATTCTGATCAACAGTTGTCCCGTAACTCTGAAACGAGGTAGTTTTAGATCTATTTTAATCTCCTTAATAAGTCCTAAAGCTATGCAAGTGAGTGCATTTTGATAACTGCTGTGCCTAATTTGTAACAATTACTGTCAACCTTGAGTTAAGAGACTGTTCATTCCACCCTGGTCCAGAAAAGAGTGAATGTATGACTCTTGCACATAATTTTATTCACATCATATTTCATACTGATTATGTATTGATGACATTGATTCATTTACTCTTTACAGCGCCACTTGCATGGATATTAAATCTTATTGACCACAGATGAATTTTAATTTCAGATTGGTGATAGATTTTTCCATCAGCTCTGATAGTATATTTGACTTTTTCATCATTAACCCAGGCAATCACACAGCACTGAGTTATTGCAATGAAACAAAAAGTGCACACTTCAGTTGGTAATTCTTTATAGATTTACAATAGGAACTTCATTAACGTCTGTAAGGATCACAAAAAATAACATTTATCTGCAAATAGGAATTTTGAAGATGAAAAAACCTGGGACAAATGCTAGGCTTACCTATTCTGTCACGTGCGGAATAATTAGTAACACTTTCACTTAGTGGAGAAATCTACACAGGAAGACACAAACTGCTTTAAAAAGTCCTGTGTTTTTCTTGTTGTGTTGCTGCAGTTCAATATCCACGTTTGCTTCTTTTTCTGTGCAAAAATTTGCTGATTAATTTTAAGCATTATTTCCAGTCTTATGCAGTGAGTGTAATTACATCAAAATGAGATGTGGGCTTTTTTATTTGCCTAATTTGTCAATTGAGGTGATGAGAGAGTTGAGTACAAAAGTCCTACATAGTTGGGCAGAATGAAGATAATGAAGATTGGAGGAGAACGGCGTGGCCTCTTCTCGAGGAAGTACAACTACAGTTAAAGATTCATGGGTTTATACTGTTGTGAATTTTAATGACACAAGTCTGTGGTACAGCATAGCTAACAGTGACTCCGTTAGGTGAATATTTGTAGGTGTCCCATTTCAAAATACAGGGTAAAACCATTCATCTTTATACGCTGCAGTAAAAGCTTTACCATTCTGAGAGAGTGGTTTATCCACTTGTCTACTGCGAATGTAAAGTTTAATGTAACTTCAAGTAGGTGTCTAAATTGCCGTTTAGCTTTATCAGTTTCTTACTGTGCGTTAGTAAAACATGAAAATGATTTAGTTAGAATAAAAGCAGTAGACATGATGAGGAACGCAGAATGTGGAAAAGCAGTAAAGTGGGGCTGGGCCTGCAGAGCTCACAGCTGAAGCCTCCCGGTAGAAGCTAATGCAGAGGCGATACTGAGAACAGGTTTTTATTAGTTCTGTCACTACTTACCACGTTGCTGCGGTCAAGGATGAGGCAAAGAGGTATTGGGGAAGACTGGAGAGAGAAACGATAGGGTTGTTTTGTTTTTATAATGTAGTCTCTCTAGGAAATGGTCCCAGTTCCCCTACCGGTTTTCCAAGGGGAGCTGTGGAGCGTCTGAATTTCAGAAAACTGGATTACAGTCAAGGAGACAAGTTGGTAATTCATAGGTTTGTCAGGTGTCTGCAGTTATGGAAGCTGCAGGGGCAGGTGACAAAGATTGTGTTTCGTGTGTTAGCTTTTTAACAATCTGAAGATGTAAACATCGCAGATGCTTTCCAGAAAGCCGCATGTTGTAGGGCCAGTAATTAAAAATGTTCTTCCACTATGACGGAGTTGGCTGTAACAGATCCTCTTTATTAAACATTAAAGATCAATCAGTCTCCAGGTTATTCTGCCACTAGAGATTATGGACACAGCAGAATAATCACAGGGTGGTGGTTTTTTTTTCATTAAGCTGAAGAGATTGAGACGTACTCCTTGCAATAAAACACATTTTTGTTGTGTTTGTGAAGGTGGCAGTTACATACTTAGGATTGTCTTCATATTAACTTGTAAACTGTATATTTATTGGTGATGGGTGCAGGCAGAAAAGGTTGCGCAGCCTAACTTTCAGCACTTGATTTTCTTTTTAAGGAGGCGAAGCAGTAATGTTTGCTGTTCCTGCCTTTTGCCTCCCTGATCTGATCCACACGTGGAAATTGTAGTTTCTCATCGCTTGCTTGGAAAAAAATCAAACACCACAACACTATTTCACCTCTGCTTGCCGGCACAACGCAGTCCTCAATGCTGGCTGATGTCCTGGGGGCCATTTTATTTGCTGGGGTCGTATCATCCTCCACAGAGAACTGTCTCTGCATTTTTGACAGTGGCAGTATTCCTGTAGCATCTCTTGTTTGCTAACAACCTTACCACCTACTATAAGTGTAAATTCTCCTCTGGCTGGCAGCGTTCATAGCGAACGCTTGTCTTCAGCTCCTATACTTTTAAATAAAGTATGAGTTAGATTACATCTCTCAGAGAAGATCTGAAAAATCTTCTAGTTTACATATCACTCAACAATTCCCTTGTAGTTACATAATTGGTGTTGTCTGTGTCCATAGTAGAAGATATTTGATGCTCATTTATTAAATATGCTTGCTGGCTGCTCCCTAATCTTTGTTCTGGACAGACAAATTACCTTTCTCACACTGAGCTTCAGCTCTGGGGAATTAAACCTCCAAGCCTCTACTACTTTAATTAGCTTGAAAGTGGGGGGTTGCAGTTACTAATAGACCTCAGGCTTTTAGTAACTTAGAGAAAGGGTGGAAAAAGAACTTCCTGGGAAGCACAAAATGCCATTTAAAAACCATAAAATTCTCATATATATTATTTCATTTTGGTAATTGCAAACAGATTGTATTTGAAGACTATGGATGATCATTTCTATTTTGTCCCGGAAAGTTTAGATTTTTATCGACTTAGACACTTTTAATTATCACAATTCATTAACACCAGTGTGAGAGCACATGTTTGACTTCATATATTAAAATGTTTATGTAACATTAACTAACACACCAGATGAGGAATTTCAAATGGGGGGGAAAAATCCTGAAATATCTATATTTAGCTCTTATGCAATGCAGCATATTAACCAAAGTTGCCTTGGGAGGATATTGGCTGTACTTTTTATTTGCTTTACACGCTATTTCTTCCAATTATAAGATCACATTACTGACTTCTTCAAAGGCACGGCATAATGTTTCTTCCCTTTTAAAAAGGGGCCCAGAAAAGCCACCTTATTCACCGTACCATTTGCTACCAGAAAGTACACTTATTTATTGTTGTCGTCTCTCTTTATTCTTTACTGTCTGTTCTTCTTAGTAGTGATACTGCAGAAAATGCTTGCTTTTTGCTATTTGAAGTTGAAACGTTAGCACTGTGAATGGATAGTGTAGAAAGTCACAGTTGGAAAGTAATCTAATAAAAAAGAGATTAGTGAATAAGGAAAAGACAAAAGCAGTCATGTTGTAGTTTCCTATCTCAAATTTAGTATTCTAGCTAAGATACCCATTTTTATTTCTTGCAGGTCTGCTAAAAGGTCAGAGTATTGCAGAATGCGTGCCTTCATCTCAAATTTTGTTCATCACAGATGGATCCCATGTCTCCAAGTAGACAAGTCACCTTTGTAGCTAGCATCAGTGCCAGCTCCATACCATTGCACCTTCTTTATTCTTGATTGCCCTTCCCACATTTATTGGTGTATTAAAATGACTGAATATGAACATTAAGGACTCCATGAACCTGGGCTAATGGGAGACTGTAGAGAAAATGAAAAAAGATCCACCGGAGGACATCTTTGGGGGGGTGGGTGGGGAAGATGACTAATGAAGCTAATTAAAAGAAGCATTGAAATCTGCTTTCTACCCTCATTAACAATTAGCAGGGCACTGGCCAGTTTGTACCCTGTATTTTACCTTAACAACATTCTATTTGCTCTTTGTATATTTAAGTGTTGTAAGGAAATGTGTTTCAATCAAACTGAACATGAGATAAAGGAAAGATGTGGCTTTTGTGATATTCTATCACAAACACTTTTATTGTATCTCTGTAAAATACAATGTATGTATGCATGTAAGTGTTTTTGTCCTAATGTTGCTACTTCCCATGGCAAAAAAAAAAAAAAAAGGAGAAAAAGGAAAAAAAAAGTCAGGCTCATAGCAGCTACTGTGTAGAAATTTTCACCTACTTCTAATTTGCTGAATGAAGAAAAATCTTTTATTTGTGATATTTTCAGAGACATTTGCTCTAGTATGGTGTATTTAAATAATAAAAAGTAAAACAAAAACCACTGAATTGAGTTTGGGTTTTAGAAACGTTGCTGTTTTTTTCTTGAAAAAAAAAAAACAAACAACAAAACTACACTCAAAATAGTGCTCTGAAACAAAGTCATTGCCTTAATTGTCAGTTTCCTTTAAAAATAAGGTTTTGGTTTGGAGGTTTTTGGTGGGTTCCTTTTTTGTTTTGTCTTATGCCACTAAAGAACCTGTTAAACTACCGTGTTAATTTTGGTGTGGATACAGGGAGGCGCTGCTTCAAAGTGATCATTAGTTTTCATTGAGATTCTTGCTTCTAATAACAGCAAATGCAAGACAGTTCAGATTGTGGTTAAGTGTGGTACACGTTATAGGTGTTGTGGTCTCTTTCTATCTGGCTCCTCCCTGCAAAACTGCCCATGTTAGATGTATGCGTGTGTCTGTGAGTGTGCAAGCATGAGGGTGTATGAACACACTTCAAGAGATCCAGAAATAAAAGCAAAGAAGGTGTGTACCTCATGCGGAGCACTAGAATTGAGCATTCATAGAGAGGAATACAATAGCTGTTCTGATCTGAATAAAAATAAACTGGAATTTGCTGTGCAAGAAACTTTTAAAACTAATAATCTGAAGGAAAGAAAAGCGAGCTTCCTGGGCTACTTCCAAGGACAAACTGATGGCAGCTATGGTTTGCTCTCTGGAAGGAAACAAAAAAACAACGCCCTCCAAAGTAAGAAAACTTTCTCTAAGCTTAGAAAGAGGGCAGCTTTGTTCAGTGGGCCTTTCCCTTCAGGTCTGTGCAGACCAACTCTGAGAAGAAAATCCTCATTTTTCATACTTATAGCAAGAACAGTAACATGAATCTGTGATGCACTGTTTGCCTTCAGTCAGGGAACTGCAGGCACCCAGAAGGTGCCTCTGCTGCAACTCAGAGCAAATCAGCATTACCAGCTGTTTGACTTCTATCAGAGAATAATGCATTTGAAATACAGTGTGATTATGTTCTCTTTTTAAATTTGTTTTCAAGAAGGCGTAGCTTGTTTGGTTATGGAGTGAGCTTCACTTACTTTTGTTGTGATGCTGGTGCATAAGAAGCAGATTTGTAGATTTGTCTGTCTGAACAACCAGTAGCAGATACATTTTGTTTCAGATTCTACTTCTTGGCCTAGTGTGCTGAGGTCTCTTGGATTTCTTCCTTCAGCACTTCATTGCCTTGGCAAAAATAGGACTGTTGAAGAGAAAAGAAAAAAATATAACATACGGTGACAGACAGTAAAGATAACAGAATACTTATCATATAAAGCGATATGAAGCTGTGTATGACTTTTTTAATTAAATGCACTTATGTATTTTTAAAAATAAGTTTCTAAGCTTTTTGATCTCGCATTACAGTCTTTAGGTAAGAGTTTTGCAAATTGTGTGGCTGGAACATCTTTGAAAAGACACTCGAAATCATACAAATGTGGAATTCAAGTATCAGTGAGTCTGTAGGCATCCTGTAATTATTCCAGTATAAGCACTCAAGGTGCCACGGTTAAATCTAACGTGCAGATTTTCGGTTGTCCAATGTAACCTAGAAGTGCTAAGAAGATACCTAATAACTTCTAGTAAGTAATGTAGTATAGCGTTCAGTGATGTAGAGGTTGAAGTTCATTAACAGCTTTAAATAAACTATTATATGACTCGTTTGTAAAGCGCAGCTACCTTTTTAATAGCTTACTTTAAAAGCATTTCTTAAGTTGCAGACCTATAAGATTACAAATGTCACTCATGTTAGCATAATCCACATGCAAGTGATGAAGCCTTTGCTTTGATGTGCTAAATTGGAGGAGGACTAATGGAGCTATGAATATACAATAGAACATATTTAAGTAGTATTCTTCCTTTAGGTAAAACACTTTCTTGAAACCAGAGGCATTTCAGACAATAAAACAGCCTCTAATGGGGACGCTGGGGGGAAGGCTACTGGAAACACTTAGATTTGTCCTTATGTGAAAAATCAATTTTTTTAGGAGATCTGTAAAAGGAAACATGTACTTGTTCACCTTTTATCACATGCATTTGCTATGCTGAGTCTGAAATACACCCCCTGCATTTAGTGCTGCTGAAAAGTCATACAAATAATCAGTAAGAGCTTCCCTCACTTTCAAAAATGAATGCTGTTAAAAAAAATCAAAGGAAATATTACTAATCTGAAATCATCCTAGTGAACCTGGATAAAAGGCTCTGTCTATACTGCATCTAAGCGTCTCAATCATATAAATTGTCACTCTTATTAATGAAACAATTTTGTAAAAAGATTGCCCTCTAAATGGGTTTAATGTTTTTACCTATCCAGCTGTCTAGTTATGAGATTTACGCATCCTGGCAGGCAGTGGGACATTAAGCCTTTCCAAAGCAAATTCTGTTTGCAACAAGATACTGTCTTTTCAGTCCAACATGATTTATCTTTAAATATTTTAACAGGTTATGCAGTATCTTACGAAATGTAAAATGAGAATGTCTTACCAGAATGAAGCCTATGAAATTAAGTCACATCTTGAGAATATTAACCACACTGAGTTTGTCTCCCTTTCTCCCTGTTAGTTAACACTGATAAAATTTGCATCATCTAATTCTAGGAGAAATACAGTAAATAAAAGAAATCAGATACTACTGTAGTATGAGTTGCTACCAAGCATTTCAAAAGAGCGTTTTAATTTTATTTTTTTACCAAATTCTTTGGCCAGGATCAGGTGTCAGGCCTTGTGCAAGTTACCCGTGTTCTGAACAGCTCTGTTGAAATAATTGAAATTGAGATCAGGACACATATGTCAAATACCTTCAAAGTATTGTGTTTCTTCAGCTTGAGACGTGTTCCAGGACCGGTTTCACTTCCCGTGCCTGCAGTACGTGAAGTACCAGGGAGCCTTTGTTGTTGCTTTTCAGTACCAGGTGTACGCCTGTTGTCAGTCCAGCGAAGCCACAGAAGAGCTCACTGCAATTAAACAGCAATTTGTTTCTATGAAACTGCAATTAAAGTATTACTGATCAGCCATTTTAGATTGGCAGTGCTTTGCCTGCATGTTAAGCAGCGAGGAGCTCTCGGTTCGGTCCGTGAGCTGTGAGCAGCAGTGAGCTCGCTGTGTCCCTGCCTGGGCCCCGTGTCCTGCTCGCAGAGCGTGCCCAGCGCAGCGGCAAGTCGGGGCTGAGCCCTGGGCCTGCAGCGCTACTGCTGCTCCTGCCCCATGTGAGCAGGGATGCGCGCTTCCTGCAGGGCCGTTCCACTTCGCTGCTGCAGAGAACGGACTGTGCGTTGTGGGCCGCAAGCCAATGATGTGCTGCAGGTCCTGACTTGTTGGAGATGTGTAAACAGGGCTACTGTAGCTCCTTAGTCACAACTAATAAAAGACTAGAAGAAAGCAATCAATTACCTCGTAAGTTTTTTCCTTTCTTTTCTTTTCTTAATAGAACGCAGTGTGTGTCTGACAGGGCTCCTCGGCACGCCTGCCCTCCAGGTGGGCCGTGGCACATGGACTGCAGCACTGCTGGCCCCACACCCAGCTGACTGTGCATCTGCAATGTAAATGCTCAGTGCAAATTAAAAAGTTGTTTGTAAGAACTCAAAGAGGCATTAACTTCGTAGTGGTAATTATATTTCTTAATTATCACCATATTTTAACAAAGTCTGAGGCACATTAACTTCAGTTCCTGTGTTTTTGCACGGTGGAGGCTGTAGACATCCTCATTCCTTCGCCAGAGGGGATGACATCACACCTGTGGCATGCATGAGATAAGCGCTGCTTGTTTTGCGGTGTCTCAGAGATGTTCCTTGGGGGGCTGGCCCCGTCACACAGCCGTGTGCCATCCGTGGGGCTGTGGGCTGGGTGGCAGCAGGGAGGCATGAGGGCTGTGGGGCGGTCGGTGCTGAGGGCAGGGAGAGGACCGCGCTTCAGCCTCTATGCAGCCAGGAAGGCCGTCAGCCAATAACACCACCCGCAGGGGCTTGGGCCCACGCCTGAGCCCAGGGCCTGAAAAAAGCCCTGTTTGCTGGAGACAGACGAGGCTGTGTTGAGGATTTTTATTTTTTCTCTCCCCCTCTGTGGGTATTTTTTAACAAGCCGGGTTCTGTTGTTGTGTTTCCTTTAGTTACATCCACAAAAACGCTCTTGGTGTGCAGGCAGGATGTTCGGCTCGATGGGCTCGGGAGCCATAGCTGTGTGTTTTGCCCTTGCCTGTCTTGGTGGCACATGCTGCTCCCCCGCCCCTGCTTGCCTCTGGCCACTGCTAAAGGATGAACCACGGCCTGGCACTATGAGGGCTGCATTTTTTATTGTTATTTTATTAAATGGAGCTTCTCATTACTGCTGTGTGAAAAGCATAACTGTAGTGAAGGGAGGGCCGAGGCTCTGCCAGGCAGGGCTGGCTGGAGGAAAGCTGCCCTGGGATCCCCAGCACTGCAGGATGGGCCGTGCAAGGGACCAGGAGCTTCAGAGGCAAGGCACACACACCCAAAAGGCCAGGAATTTTAGTAACCCCTAAAACTTTGAGCTTAAACTTCTCTCCTGTTGACTGGCTAAACAGGTCTCCCAGAGCACTGTGCTACTTTTTACCCTTTGCTCCTGTGTTTTGACAGTCAATTTATCAGTGTAAGTCTTCTGCCTGCCTCAGCTGACAAACACCGAGTTTGAAATTCTGACTTTTCTTACTGGTTAAGAAAATACTAAAAAGTGTTTTGCTTCATAGGATGCTTGGTCACTTCTATATGCCTAACTGCATCCAATAGCAAAAGCAGCAACACACGAGGAACGTGCATGGATGGGGCCAGTCCTGATGTTCCTCATCATCACCGCCACCGCTGGCCCTGTCCCGTGCTGCTTTTAAAGCAGCAGTGGCCACCAAAGTGCCCACGTCATGCAGCCGGGCTCCTGTGCAGCCGGTACAGCCACTGCTTATTTTTCACACTGTTGGAATTCACTGTTAATTACTTGAAATATCCACGCACTTTTCCTCTTAGGGAATCTTACATGCGAGCCTTTTGCTAACAACGTCAGTGGTTTGCCGTAACCTCTCGGAATAATCATCGGTTCCATTGAACTTCTGCCAGTTGTTTTGTTAAACTAAATGGAGAGAATAGGGCCTATATTCCTTCTCAAAAGGCAAGAGATTGCCCTGTGATTTGGGAAAATCTTGATTGCTTACAGAAGAATAAATGAACAGGGCAGATATTAACTTTACACCTGACTTCAATTTCTTTGAGAAGCAGTGAAGAAATGTACGATAGGAGGAAAAAGATCCAGCTAGAACTCATAAGCCAGCCAATAATAGTCTAATTTTATTGTGCTGTAAAATCATCACTGCTTATAGAAAACAAAGGGCAATGAATGCCATATTGGTCTTTTATTCTTACAAAAAACCTTGAGATCAAACAGCCCCTAAAAGACTGAGCCGATATGCATCCGACTTATGTATTTTTTTTATATCCTCTGATATTCATTCCACTGATGTATTTGATAGGTAATTATATCAGCCATATCAAGATGCTGATAGGAAATAGTGGAAGACTTCAGTGTTTCGCCATAAAGCTCATACCCCTTGTTATTGAGCTCTCATCAGGCTCGGGATCTGCAGCAATAATTTGAAAGCTGCAGTTGATATTTCTGTGCTTATGCCACATTTAAAAATTATTATTCTTGCTTCATCAGTCAGTCTTTTTAGATGGGTTGGAAAAAAAACATTGCAAATGAGCTACTATTCTTATTTGTTTTTTTAAGAAGGGTAAGCACTGAAGTATTCAAATGGAACAGATTATACCTTTAATTACATCCAAACAGGATGCTGAACTGATTATTTTCTGTTTAATTGCTATAGTTCAAAACAATATTGCAAATTTGGAAATTAATTCTTTAAGCATGGCCTTCTGGCCTCTGTATTTACAAGAGAAACCATAAGAAAAAGAAAAGAAGAATTGAAAGGGGAAGATTGCCACTTACTTCTCTAACAAAGAAGTCTGAATTTCTTGTGGGAGGCCTTTGATCTGGACCAATGCTGTTTGTCTTCTGGGAGCATCCAGTGAGTGCCACCAGCTCTGTGCACATCACACAGCTGCAACGCGTGCCCCCTCCGAAGGGACGCCCCATGGGTGGCACTGAGCTGCTCCTTCCCCAGCGTGCTTGCAAGTCCAACCCGCCGCCGCTTTGGTGGATGTGCTCGATCTCCATTTTCCTACATGCAAAATGAGAAGAATGAAAGCAAACACAATTCATCACTTCTTAAACTAAATATATTTCCATTTTGTTTGCATGTGTGTGTGCATATATCACTCACCGTATATATTTAGAATATGTACTGTGACATTACAGCCAGTGATAAATCCTACTCACTTACTGTATGTGTTATTTGCTGCAACATTAAGCTCAGTGAGAATTTTATATGTAACTTGTACCAAAACTAAATATATTGTGGAATTGATGCACAGTTGTAAACAAGAGCATAACTTCCTAGTGCAACACAGTTGAAGGTGGCAGCTTGTGTGGCAATTCCTTTGTAAACAACTGCAGACTTTCCAAAGAACAAGCCGGTTAATTACATTTTTAATGACATTTTTAGAAAATGGGATTCTTGGGGGGGGGGGGGGGGGGAGAGGAAACCTGTAATGCCAACACCAAAAGTAAGCCTAAAGCTTGTACTGTATGAGGGAGTACTAAGGGGGAAA